AAAGATAAAACTGCTGGAGGATTCTTTGTAATTTTGGTTTTCATTACGTGGGCGGGAAGGAATTTGGGGGGGGGGGGATTTGTGCAAAGAATTGGGGAAGGATTATTCTGCTCAATGCACGTTTGTAGAGGCCCAAGAGGAACATGCAGGCTGGGACAGAAAGCAGACATTCCACACAGAGAGGGTGTGAACGTGACGCCGGGCCATACACAGCGCTCAGGAATGTGACCGTACAGCCTGTGCTAGCAAAGTAAGGACTTGGTGTTAGAAAGCCAACACAAAAGAGCTGCAGAACAGTGGGTAGTATGATAAGGACAACAGCTGTACGACCACACAAGGGGCAAAGAAAGGAAAAATTCTGCAAATATGCCACTACAGGGAAGACTCCAAAAACAGAATTTCATATACGAGAATAAACAAATTGCGTTCTTGCTGGTGCGGGTTTGGACATTTTTCAATATTTGCTGCAGCAGCATTGTTTCCTGAATCGCTTAAAAACATACAACATACAGCAGTTTTAAATACTCGATACTTTAATAAATTTTATAGAAAAATAGATTTGGTAATCTACATTGTCACACACAATTTTCCGGAAAAAACAGACCAAGTCTCACTTCCAGAAAAAAAAGTGGGTTATAACATATACAGTTAATGTGTTTGCAGGACTGCAGATTCATTGTCAGCAGGTGACGGCACTCAAACATGTGAAGACCAAATGGGGGGAGGAGAGAAGAAAAAAAAACCTCTCCAAGACTGCTCTTACTGCTGCTTCTACTCCAAGCCTGCGTCTCCCCCCGGCATGACAGTCCACCTGCTGAGTCTTGCATCCAACCTTGGACTGTGCATGACCCGGGGCTCAGACTAGCTGTTTTCTGACTGTTCCTCTGATAAATAATTGAAATCACCTCATCAACAGAGCAAGTCCAGCCCCCAGGCTTGCAACTCCTGCAAATGCCACAAGAGCATTACGCACAGTGGACTCTGGGTCTTCCATATAGAAGAAGTCTGTAAATCCCTCCTGTATGTGGGGGAGAGAGAAAGAATGTTGTAAATACTAGAGGGAAAAAAATGCAGTTTCTGCAGCCAGTAGGTCATTCCCCATGCACATGCATAACAATACTAAACTGGGATACTGACAAATAGCAGCTGCCTGCTCAGATGCAAGCTGTAAAGCAAATTGTGAAGGTGATTGGGGGGGGGGGGGGGGGGGGGGGGGGGCGCTTTCTAAGTCAAATGCAGGTCAAAGTCTAGTACAGTGCTTATGCAAATGCCGAGTGGAAAAGCCAAAATCCCAAAGAGCAGATTAAGCAAAAGCTCTTTCAGAAAACAGGAGAGCAGTGACCTTCCGATAATGTCCTAAAGGATGGCAAGTGTCGGGTGGATCTAAACTTCTGCAAAACTACCTGGGGGTGGGGAAAACAAGTCAAGTAACATCACAGTTGACAGGTAGGAGTGACACTTCCTCTTTAAGGCTGAATAATCATGTGGTCCGGATCAAGTTGCTTTATCTGGAAGGTGTGGAGCTCTCAGCCATGAGCACCAGGAAGCACAAAGTAAACGCAAGTCATGGGCCTTGACTGCAAGCACTGCATCAGTGGGCAAGAACATAAGGAACGAGGAAGAACCAGCCCTTGGGATGTTTATCTCTGTCACATGAGCGGTTTCTGAGTGGACGGGCAAAGCTGCAACAATGCAAACTGCAGTAACTGAGCCAGTATCTTTCTCAAATTAGACCCCCCTCCCATATGAAAAAAGATAAAACTGCTGGAGGATTCTTTGTAATTTTGGTTTTCATTACGTGGGCGGGAAGGAATTT